CGTTTGGCAGAACAAGTTGGTGGCAATAACCTCTTTTTCACATTCCAGCAGAGACAAAGCAAGGTCATCTGTGGATGGAGGTTTGATTTTACTATATTTCGTTATACTCACTTGGGAAAAGTATTAATCATAGATTTCTCCCCCTAGCTATGATTTAAATAGTAGGACATATATCAGTGCAATCATTATTAGTTCCAAAAAATTATAACGATCCAAAAATATATTCTGGTTTTAAAAATGATTGATAAGCGAGATAAATAGCAAACCAATGAGTCAGCCCAGAGCCAGGCTTGTATGATATGCCAGAAGCGACATATTTCAGTCATTTTGGTTGCAGCTGGTATGTATGTACCTTCCATACATCCGTATACCAAATGTTGTTAAATGCCGCTATAGTAGTACTACACTTTCGGAATTCATATAGTGATGTGTATATATGTCCTAGGTGTATAAATATGGATATATAGATATATAACCAGAAGCAATACCCATACGACAAAAACAACCATCAATAAATATAAACAGTTATAACTTATGGGCCCGCACACTTAAATGTATATAATTAAATACCAAATAATCACTTATGTCAAAGTACTCATTTTCTGATTATATTGACTTAAAAACTCAACATATCTAAACTATAAATGGATGCCATGCATGACGCCAAGAATTGTCTCTGATATCATCTATGTTCAATCGTTTTCTTAGATCAATTTGTATGTCTGTCTATCTATCTATCTATGTCAACCTGCATCTATCTATCTATCTGTCTATCTATCTATCTATCTATCTATGTCAGTCTAAATCTATCTCTGCATCTATCTCTGTCTGAATCTATCTATCTATCTATCTATCTATCTATGTCAGTCTGAATCTATATCTCTCTATCTATCTATATATCTATCTATCTCAGTCTGAATCTATCTATCTATCTATCTATCTATCTATCTATCTATCTATCTATCTATCTATCTATCTATCTATATCAGTCGAAATCTATCTATCTCTGTCTAAATTTATCTATCTATCTCAGTCGAAATCTATCTATCTCTGTCTAAATTTATCTATCTATCTATCTATCTATCTATCTATCTATCTATCTATCTATCTATGCCAGTCTGAATCTATATCTATCTATCTATCTATCTATCTATCTATCTATCTATCTATCTATCTCAGTCTGAATCTATCTATCTATCTATCTATCTATCTATCTATCTATCTATCTATCTATCTACATCCGTATAACAAATGATTTTAAATTCCGCTATAGTAGTACTACCGTTTAGGAATTCCCACAGTAATGTCTATGTGTTTCTTTGTGAAGTTATAATCCGTCATCGGATTAAATTCTAAAATGCACTCTAAACGTCAGTTCGAATAGAAGAAAATCATTATTTAAACGCAATTTAGTCCAATTCAATCTCGCTTCCAGTTTCATTAGTAATTCATAACAGTGAATGAAATACGCAATCATGTTCAGAGTAGTTTCCTATATTGGAATATAACTTATGTGTTGCTAATTTTTGAAAGTTAAGGAGAAACCAATAAGATTAAAAGAATTGTAAGAGAATATATCAAAACACATGAAATATTGAAAATCTAGAAAGAAATAAATGATGAAAAAAAAATCCCTAAATCAAATAGCAGTAATTGACGTGTTGCAGTCTATTCAGGACAATGTATCTATATAATAAATGCAACAGTTAGTGTGTCACTGTTTTTCAACTTTGCTACTAGAGGTCGCAGCTTAACATGATGGTCGTCCTCGAGTATAGAATCTAGAGGTTGGCAGTGAATATTTCGGAGACAGTAGGAAAGCGTAGTGCAGGTTAGCAGTGGATATCGCAGCAAGGTAGCAGAGCGTAGTTCTTCCGTCTGTCCTGTTCGCCGGACAAGTTGCCTCTGGTCATTCCGATAGGAAAACAAAGATGGCCGCCTTTATACACGACGGATACAGTATTGTGCGGCTTCTGATTGGTCAACCTTCTATTGGTCGACTATAAAGGGAAATAAGTCATTTTGACTCGCTCACTAGTTATATACACATATATACCTAAAAAACCGTAACAATCATACCATTCTTAAATCCTGCAGATTCCGTAAGCAAATGAAAATTTTGGGGGGCCGAATCCGGACATGCACTTCTGAAATTTTGGATTCCCATTTTTTCATTACTACGATTTTTTACGTAAGTTTTGTGCGAAGAATCTTTTTGTATGATAATTTTTTTATAACTGCGAAATCCAGCGAAATTCAGGAAATAAAAATAAGTGTTGGTATAGAAAGTAACGACTTACGTACATCAAATTGTCTTTAAATTAAGTGGCGACAGATGAATTATCGTTGAACTTTTAAAGGGTATGCTTAAATATTAATGCAATATTTAAATGCAGCGATCAGTTTTGAGTTCTTCTGCTTGAGTTCATTGTCGCCTATCACATCTACTCCTCCCTACCTATTGGGATGAAGGCCCAATCAAGAACCCCTCGCAAGAGTTAGCTGAAATGCCGCCCGATAGGACCTCTATTAAGCTAGGAATTAAGAATTTCTAAACAATTTAAGTACATCTCTATATGGATCAGGATGGATGAATATATATTGATTCAAATAGAAAATCTGAATGAAGAAACGGCGATAACTTAAGTAAATGTCACCATTGTAATATGTGACACCTTCCCTTCGATTTTACCAAAATCAACTTTGTACTAATTAGGTGCTTGAGTCTGGTTTCTCAGCGGGTTTTACAGAAAGCTAACCATCTAGACACTATGTGAAGTTCCACACATCATTCGCTATGCAAGCACATGTTCAACCCAGCTGCGTCTAGTTTGTGAACGCGTGGGGGAAATGTATGAGAGGTAGATATATATGCACCCACATGAAAGGGTGGAAGAGGTGAGTCACTTACATACAAACGAGAGATATAGAAACCAAATTCTGAGAAAAATTATATATACACGCACACAGGACGGGAGCAATTGATGTATGTACAATAGGCTGCAAGGTGCTTCTGACGATATAAATTTTTTTTTCAAATCGGTAAAAGAGAAACTTTAAACAAATTAGAATGTGGAATAAATTCTAAAGACTTTAAAAGACACAGTGTATGGATAACAAATTTAGTATAGGAGATGAGGGAATTGAACGCATTTCCGGCTGCACTGGTGGCACATTTATGCAATGCTGTAAGCTGCGATAGATAGATAGATAGATAGATAGATAGATATGAGGAGTAACAATTTAATCCATACCGTAGCAAATAACTCAGACCATTGGAAATTACATCTATTCTACCCACAAGATACGGGTTTAATAAGAAGGTAGACTGGGTAGGATAGAGGTGGCCGACAGTCAAGGAAAAAGGACAATATTCATTTCAAAACCATTTAAAGGGTGACTGACAGTAGTTGAAAGGTATGGGACACTATCGTGACACTGATAGTATGAAATTAAGATTAAAATGGTTTATATGATAAGCTTGTATATAATTGGAGAATTGGAAGGGTTAAAAACGTTAAAAAGGAAACCGTTAAGCCGGAAAGCAACGAATTGAAATATGAAGCCAAGGAAAAAAAGAGTTTTTTTTTTCCTTTCTGATAAACATGAACACAGAATGGAATGTTAAGTCTAAAAGATGGAGAAACCAATAAGAATTGTTATGAATACAAAAAGGCCGGAATGTTAAACAATAGAAAATTCCTTACCGATTTGAAATAAATCATTTTTTTGAAAAGTTGACTGTGTTGGTACTGAAGATCATTGTCGTCCGAGAACCGAATTTAAGTAAATCGAAAAATGTAAACAATAGAATTTTGAATTGGTTTGGATTTGAAAATCGACGAACAAAGGAATTGCCGATTTGGAATAAAATTTTAAACACGAAAATTTATTGCCGAGAAATTATTGTTGAAAAAAAAAAGGAATTTTAACCTTTTGAGGCCTGTTTTCCTGAATAATTTTAACCCTTCTGGCTGAGCTCCTGAGTCAAAATTCGCAAATAATTGGTATGTACTGTTTCATGGTAGATATAAAAAATAGTTACAAATGTTTACCCACCGTTCATTTTTCTCTACCACTGTTCAAACGGTGGCTGGGGATTACGTCATGTTTCTCTACCAACGGTAAAGCGGTGGTCAGGACTCAAAGGGTTAAAACAAAGTTTATTGTTTTGAAATACCAAACCGTTTTGTGTAGGGTTAATTTCATAGCACAGTTCTGTCAACTCGATTCAGCGGTTAAGTGCGGACGAATATTCGATCTTCACTGCACTGTGATCAAAACACACAACAGGGGCAGAGCAAATACGGAATGAAGCGGTCAAAAGATAACTATCAGTTGACCGGTGCCAGTACTGAGCAAAGTGAGAACAACACAGGATCCAGCCGGGCCGGCAGTGTTATATATATATAGCACTATCAAAACATCTACTTACAGCCACTGAAGATTTGTGGAATTCAAAATTTACTTTTGTACACTGTTGTGAAATCAAAAAAGGTAATATGAAAATTCCTACTCACGAACTTATAGGACCACAGAAAATGACATTTTAATCATTATGAGTAGGTCCGGGGGGTCTACGCAAAGGCCCCAAAACGTTCTTCTTTGACCACTTTGAACATGACACGCTCAGAATCTGAGTTTGATGTGCCATTACATTTCCTGCCTCGGTTTGATACCTGCCATATTACTGCTCTTAATACTCCTGAAGACGATGTGGGAATGAATAGAGTTTCGCGAATGTAGCGTAACATTACATTAGGTTGCACCCTTTATAGACGTATCTGCTTCTATCTATAAAATACTGATATATAGATATATAACCCGAAGCAATACCCATACAACAAAAATTTCCATCAATAAATGAAAAAAACAATTATAACTTATAGGCCGGCATCCTTAAATGTATATAATTAAATACCAAAAAATCACTTATGTCACAGCACTCATTTTCTGATGACTGTGACTTAAAAACTCAACGGATCTAGACCTTTAACTGGATGCCATACATGATGCCAAAAACTGTCTCTAAGATATCATCTATGTATAAAACGTTTCTTAGATCACTTTGTATATCTATCTATCTATCTATCTATCTATCTATCTACATCATTCTGAATCTATCTATCTATCTATCTATCTATCTATCTATCTATCTATCTATCTATCTATCTATGTCAGTCTGAATCAATCTATCTATCTACGTATTTCTGAAACTATCTATCTATCTATCTACATCATTCTGAATCTATCTATCTATCTATCTATCTATCTATCTATTTAGTCTGAATCTATCTATCTATCTACGTCATTCTGAATCAAGCAATCGATCTATCTATCTATCTATCTATCTATCTCATTCTGAATCTATCTATCTACGTCAGTCTTTATGAATCTATGTATCGATCTATCTATCTGTCTGTCTACGTCATTCTGAATCTATCTATGTCAGTCTGAATCAATCTATCTATCTACGTCTTTCTGAATCTATCTATCTATCTATCTACATCATTCTGAATCTATCTATCTATCTATCTATTTAGTCTGAATCTATCTATCTATCTACGTCATTCTGAATCAAGCAATCGATCTATCTATCTATCTATCTATCTATCTATCTATCTATCTATCTATCTATCTATCTATCTATCTACGTCAGTCTTTATGAATCTATCTATCGATCTATCTATCTGCCTGTCTACGTCATTCTGAATCTATCTATGTCAGTCTGAATCAATTTATCTACGTCTTTCTGAATCTATCTATCTATCTATCTATCTATCTATCTATCTATCTATCTATCTACATCATACTGAATGAAGCTATCTATCTGTTTAGTCTGAATCTATCTATCTACGTCATTCTGAATCAAGCAATCAATCAATCTATCTATCTCATTCTGAATCTATCTATCTACGTCAGTCTTTATGAATCTATCTATCTATCTATCTATTATATCAGTCTGAATCTATCTATCTATCTATCTATCTATCTATCTATCTATCTATCTATCGTGCCTTCTAGGTCTTACGTTTTCCTATGCCATGAAGTGGAAAGATGATATTGAATCAACTGCTAGTTTTACAGCCAGGAAAGTTGGACCCCTCTGTAGTGACAGTCAATTTTTTCCGCCTGAATCAATCTTTCACATTTATAGATTTAAAATTTGTTCATCCATTGAACATTGCTGCCATATCTGGTCTGGTGTTTATCCTGTACATCTCGAGATTATTGACAAAATCCAAAGAACAGTCTATAATTGTAACGCTCATGAACCTGGCATATCAACTTCAGTCACTTTCCACAAACAGTGACGTGGCTTCCCTCTGTATTTTCTACAGATATTTCTATGGCAATTGTTCTAATGAGCATTCCTTCTGGGTATCTCAACCAGACTAATTATACGGACTACTAAATTGGCAGCCAGGTCTTACTGTTTACTTCTGAAATAGTAAGATGGATGCGTAAGTTCAATTCTAATAGTTTTTCTCTCGCAATTCTGGGGAAAACCGCTCTCTTTTTTTGCTTCTCAACTACCTACAATAATCAAAAGTTTAAATGCAACGTCAATCGCCATCTTCTGTCTTCCTGTTTTTTTTTTGTTTTTTGTTTTACTCTTCTTTCTCTGCAGTAAAGTCTTCACATTCTATTTCACTATATATGTCTGTCTCTCGTTCGGTAAATATGCCTCACCGGCCTTTTGAACAGGAGTAGAGGCTGGTCCCTTGATCACTGTTTAGTATTGTGTTTCTGGTTCCTTCTGAAATCTACTGCAACTCTATACTTCTAACGTCTCCGTCTAAAACACTAAAACTTTATTTACTATTTATTTACTTCTTTTTCTTTCCTTAATACGTTCGGCTATCGTCAGGGTCACAATCCTCCACGTTTTCTTTTTTTTTTAGAGTAGAGGTTTTTCCATTATTTTCTGTTTAGGATTTTGTTCCCAATTCCTTGCAAAACTTCTTTTTTCTCATTCACTGCCGACGGACCCTTGCCAGTTGGCGCCATTATCTCTATAACCCTATGACTCGAGTGGCTTTTGCGCCTTGTATACGGTGAACATCATTGTAAAAAATTGCATCTTTGAGGAGAAATTAAAAGAAAAATCTTTCTGATTGATCGTAATTTACGAGTTTGTGAGCGTCTCTTATATTAGAAACTGAATATTTGTCTTACCAACAATATATATAACAAATACCTATCTTTGGATAAGAGAAAGTAGAATTCACTCCCCATGTCCTTATGTCTGCCGCTACTTCACAGTTTTCTGAGTCAATATCAGGAGTGACAGCTCGGCATTCTTTTAATCGTTTGATACAAACCTATTGATGGGCATTACGCCAGTCTCTGGCTATTTTAGCAGAGAATATCAATAGTAATTAATTTATCGTGGTTTGGATGCTAAAAAGCAAAGTCAATATTGACTGATTCTAGCAAAGAAAGTCTAATTCTAATGTTCAACCAATTGTGACCTCAGAATTTAAATGATATAACACA